AGGAAACTGAGGCAAAGGCAGGTTAAGGAACTGGTCTGTGATCACACAGCCAGTAAATTGCAGAGCTGGTTTCCAACACGGGCTTCCTGGTTCCAGAGTCTGCTATCAACCACAACTCTGTCCTTGAATAATAAATTCATTTTATAATAAGTATTAGGCTTCTGTAACATTACCGTATTTCCCCATGTATAAGATGCTCCCATGTATAAGACGCACCTTAATTTTGGGGCCCGAAATTTGAAAAAAGTGTATTACATAGTTATTGAACTCAAGTTTTATTTATCCTAAAATTCATACAACTCCTCATCACTTGTAGGAAATGCAAGTAAAAAAATTTACAATCATTGTATAAGATGCACCCAGTTTTTAGGCCCCAAATTTTTCAAAAAAGGGTGCGTCTTATACATGGGGAAATAAGGTAGGTTTCTCTAATCTTAACTAATCAATACCTGTATTAGTCAGGGTTCTCTGGGGAAAACAGAAACAAGTGTGTGTGTGTGTGTGTGTTTATTTATTTTAAGGAATTCGTTCACTTGATTATGTAGCCCGACTAGTCCAAAACCTGTAGTTCCAGTCTGAAGGCTGTCAGGCTGAAGACTCAGGAAAGAGCTGATACTGTAGTTCAAGTGGAAAGGCTATCAGCTGGCAGAATTCCCTCTTGCTCCAGGGAGGTTCATCTTTTGTTCTATTCAGCCCTTCAACTGATTGGATGAGGCCCACTCACAGCCCACTGATTTAAATGTTAATCTCATACAAAAATACCCTTACAAAAACATCCAGAATAATGTTTGATCACATACCTGGGCACTGTGGCCCAGCAAGTTGACACATAAAATGAACCATCACAGTACCCTTTGACATTTTAATTTTGCAAGGGTTAGTGGACATCAGGTAGGGCCCAGAGGGAAAAAGATATGTCATGTGTAACTTTAGGAAGCTTTTTCCAGACCTTAACACAAAGGACTCTTGCTTTCTCTTCCTTGTTTCACAGGTGAAGTGGTGAGCTCCAGAGAGCCACAGAACACAGAGAACAAAGAGCCAGCTCTTTCCCTGCCTGTGGTCTAAACAATTTTCACAAATCCCATGTAGTTCAGCCGCTTCTCTTGGCCATGTCCAGATAGGGACTTGGAGTCAAAGGCCAAGGTTAGGGGTTGGAAATGTCAATGTGTAAAGGAGTCAGGCATGTAACGTAAATGAGACAGGCAGGCCAGGTGTAAGGCTAACCACAGTGCAGTTACAATGATAAATGACAAGTGTCCCTTCACCAGGGTCAGGGAGTCAGGAGAAGTAGAAGAGCTGGAGTAAACTGCAGTGTGCCTGACCCTCCTGTAGCGCTCAG